CTGCGGAGGGCATAATAAAAATAAAGAAAAACTTTTTTTTCTGAAATTACGCTTTTTTGTGGTGTCGGCGGGGTGTGCGCTAATTGGCCAAAAATAAAATTATATTTTATTTGAAATCAATATTTGCAGTCGGCCGGTTTGCTAAACAAGGTATAATAAATCTTGTCTAAACAGGCTGATAAAATTATCAAAATTATTATTTTTTTTTATAAAAGAAGTAAAATTACTTTTTGTAAAGTGTTTTGCCATTATGTTTCTACCTTTTCTTGGGCTTTGACAACAATTTGTAAGACTCCCATTATTTGTACTTTTTATGGAAATAAATGATTATTTAAAAAAATAGCAAATAGTAAATTCTTCCACAAGGCTCCAAAATTTGATGAGGGTGGGAATACGAAAATAGCAGTTAATTTAATTTGGCCTTATTATAAACGTATTATAAACCTGTTGGTTATTCACGGTTCACTACAGTAGTGAATCACATGAGGCATTCTTCTTTTGTTGTCATATATTCAATCCCCACTGTTTTTGTTTGAGGTGATTATCTTCACAAAAGAAAACAATTAAAATCTTATCATCATTAATAATCTAGTTCACAGTATTGATTTTTTGGTTAGTAATTACATCAACTCTGAACCAAATTTTCAAAAAGCAATATAGCTGACTGCTAATAGTGGGAAATAATTTTAGGAAGTACATGTTTTTTTTATTTTTTATTTTATTCTCTTGTTTTCGAGTCTTATGGAGTGTTGTTATCTTTTAGTTGTGTATCATGCAATGTTTATTTTAAATTTTTGTGCTTCTTTTTTTTTATTATTATAAACTGCATTATAGAGTGGTCTTTTGCTTGTCAACATAAAAGCAAATCCCTCACCGTAAAATAATTTCAAATCCTGAACATGAAAATAACAATATTTTACGTGGTCTTTAGTGGAGTATAAACTATAGATGATTGAAGGGTCTTGGTTTGAATCTGAAATGGAATAACGTATATTTTTCACAAAACCTAATAATTATTAATATATACAGTAGTAAATTATATGAAAGCTTTGTCTTTGTTAATAATGGTTAATTAAAAAGGTACTGTACCATATCGTAGGATAGTTTATTAGGCCTATCTGTTATAATTCCACGAACTAACGAGTTAGTAGGTGTGGATGGATACCCGGCTCCCATCACCCGAATATATACATTACAGTTGGTCTGAATTCACATGGGAATGGATTCATGACAATAACAGAACAGTTAAACATAGCAAATTAAGGTAAAAATAGCGCAAGGTTTGACTAAAGCAGCTATTCCCGGTCATGTGTATATACAGCCACAGGAACTCCTAACCCTTTTGTAGCATCACCTGCAGATTTGTTTAATGTGTAAAAATAAGCAAAACGCATGTTTTCAATATTGTAGAAAATGTGCCATTCATCATTCAAATGAAAGCATCGTGAATATAATCATTAGGTGATAAAGTTTAGATTTGATTAGTCATTTAGATGTAATGTAATGTAGTTGTATTTATATAACACCGTATACCAAAGTTTGCTTTTGGTTTTGATTTAATTAGAATTTTTTGGTGTGAAAAATCATCAGTCTGAATGTCACTCTAATACTGGTGAAGTTTTTACCTGAACTTGCAGTGTTTGATGTGATTTAATTATTATCAGTAAGATGATTTCCTGTATGGTATAAAAAAACGTTGACCCTATTAGTGGTTCATCTTCTTCACTAATTAATTGGAAGTGAGGCACTTAATCTGCTCTATACAATTTCCCTACCACATTTTATAAGAAAGTAAGCTTTTGAAGTGTCAGTAACTTTAGTGTCCATGTTGTGAGCCAACTATAATTCTTGTTTCTACTTTGATATTTCAGTTGTTGTAACTTTGAATTAACACCTAGGCAAATACAAGCTCTTACTCAGCTTAGTGAGAGTGCTATCAATTTTTGTTTCATGTAAAATTAGTTTTATATTTAAGATTGAGTGGTTCATTCTTATTGTACAGTAAGGCAGTGGCATATAGAAATGAGAATGAATTAATAGTAAATTAATGCAAGTAAATGGAAAACTAAGTTTATTTTACATATTAATTGGCAAGCATTAATTTGTCAAGGAAAGTCCATTATCTGATTAGAATTCTTTGTTTAAAAAAAATTTTTACAACACTTATACTGGTCCGATTTTGTGAATTATCTTTCATATTACTAGAGAATATAATACTCAGCATGCCTCTATTTGAAATCCTGGGTATGCGTTTATAAGGTGTGCAAGTTTTTCTCTGTGTCATTCTAATTTCCATGACGCTTGAAGATGTTTCAAGGGGAGTTGATAGGATAAGGTGTACCATTAGCAAAAGTGTCCTGCTCGTTAAAATGTACTACAGAGACAATTTTTACGATAAGCAGAATGACGTGTGGAATAACAATTTGGTTTGATTTATAATTGCCTTTGAAGAAAAAAAATAATGCATCTGTCTTGCAAGAAGTAGTAACATCATTATTTACAATTATGGAAGGCTTTTATCAAACAAAATCTGTTCTTCTGCAAGACAGCGAAAGCAATAATTATAAAGTTTAGCAACCTGCTTAAAAATGTTTTGCTTAATGTACAGTGGATGAGGACATGTGAAACTTAAACTCTTCAACTCAGTCCAGATTTCAAATTTTCTTTGACAAAAAACTGTTTTATGCCCATATTTAGTCATGATGTTCCCATATATGGTCATGGTATGATGTCATCATGACCATATTGAGGCATGTCACATTTTTTTTTTCAAATACAATTGGTTGGTGTGGACAGGGATTATGTGTTCTACTATATCTGACTGTTTTCTACAGCTTTGCTCAATTTTTGCCGCGTTACATTGTTTCATGTTTCAGAATAACTCCTTTTTCATCAACCTAGCTAAGTGTGTCTGAATATTTTCAGTAACAGGATATTTTATGGAGCTTTTAGTGACTTACTGTATGTATAATAAATCAAATGAACTGGACCAATAATAAGCAGGCTTTTAAGAAACTCCAACGTGTCCCTGTTTTTAATTTAGTAACTAGCAGTATTTCCCATTAATTAATCTAAAATTAATTGTTAATTTTTCTCTTTTTTTCCACTTTCTCATGAAGTAGATAATCTCAAGCATTCACTTTAAAACGTAGAATTAATTATTTGAATGTATTGCTTGGTCTGATTTACGATAATGTCGGTTAATGTAATAATCTTGCAGTAACCTTGGAGTTGTGCGAGAATTAGGTTGTGAGATGCAGCTGCTCATGTAATCCATTTCAACTCTCGTAATAAAATTATTATACATTATGAATTAATGCAATATCCTACATCAGTAGTTAGATGTTGTCAGTATAAAATGATAATAGAAAATCATTTTTGTTTGTGGTATAAAATGAATCAAAATTGTATTATTTAAGTATAATTAATTATACTAAATTTTATGTTATGAAATAAAGATAGTAATAAAAATTTATTACATGCAACAAAAATTATTCTTGTAGTTACATTTTTACAAAAATGAGTTTTTTTAAATAGTGTAAATATAAGTTATATTAATATTTCTTTTTGAAAACCACATGAAATTATTTGAACATTCAGTATGAATATTGAAGAAATGTTAAACAAATGGTAAAATGGTAAAATGGTTTTTAATTTAATTTTATGCTATACAAATAATGTTTTAAAAAAATCGCTAAAGTAGGCCTTTAAGATGATATTTGCAATTTATTAAAAAAGTAAAACTAGTAATTGCATGAAATTTATTGGCTATTCAATAAAAAACAATATTTAAACCATCTTTCCACCTAACTTGATCTCTTTTACAGTTTGTTTTGCTATGCCTGCTATTTTTGTGTTAAAATTATATTGTTTAAAACTGAATATAGTGAGATATGTTTTTGTTTTTGAAGATGTACTGTCTGTTCAATTTCATATTTCAGTAACCATATGTGTTTACATTTTATAGTTTAATTTAAAATTGAATGCAATTAACATACAGTTAAATACCTCTCCTGTATTCTTTTGCAAAAACTTTTAAATTTGCTAGTAATCAATTTAAGTTTTTTTTTAAATTTCTGTAAATTGGCAGAAACTAATTTGTTTTCATCTGTTTCTCGACATTATCAAAAGTTATCCTTTTTAAATTAGTATTCATGCTTTTTATTGAATTTTTAAGGTTTTTTTTTTCTCATTTTTTAGCTGGCAGACAGTACAAAAACTTGAGATATGGTTGATTAATTTTTGTGGCTTTTGGGGTCTTTAAACTAGACTTGATGTTTTAAACTAGACTATCTATTTATAGAATGAGGACCAGCTTCTTTGGTCAAATTGTTGGCAATATAACTTGCTGGCAATGTTCTGGCATGAGTCCTAACCTACTTTAAACCAAGGTTCATAGTAAATATATATTTAAAAAAAAATCTACAGTAACTTTAGATAGAGACATGAACAGTCCACAGTATAGTTTTTGCCTATCCATTTCATCTCCAGTTTTCAGATTTTGTTGTAACATACTAGGCTATAAATTATTATTTTTGTACGTATGACATAGCAACATATTATTGCTCAAATTATATTCAAACATTTTAAAAGATTATCAAAAATGTGTATTATAAATCCTTATTTTTCTGTTTTTTTTTTTACAATAAGGATTAAATAGCTCCTATAAGCATCCACTCGATCTGATCTGCCAGTTACTCTCTTAGAAATTATAAATGTTCGGTGTTGGAGCCAGACCCATTCTGTGTATTGAGTGCTCGTACCTAAACCCATGGAAATATAGAATACAATGTTTTTTGCTTGTGATAATACTTTATAAGAAGGAGTTGATTAATTAATTACAATTAATTAAAGCCAATAACTTGGAGGGAGTTTAAATTATTATTTTTGTGTATTCTCATGTTCTTTTTTAAATCTAATTTATTAATGATATGTTTCTTTTCTTTTTTTTTTCTTTGCATGTTTCTTGATCATCTCTTGATTAATCTTGTACCAATCAGGTAAGTCAAAGTTCAATACTAATAATGTTTATTCATACAAATTGTTTATTCAGATTCAAATTGAATTATAAACAATCAAAAGTTCTGTTAAGATTATCAAATTTTATTTGACAAAAACAATGTTGTATGCCCATATATAGTCATGATGTGCCCATATATAGTCATGATGTGCCTATATATGGTCATGATGTGATGTCATGACCATATTTAGGTATATCACAGTTTTGTCAGAAAAAAAATGATGTTCTGGATAGGGACTTGCATTGTATTTTGTTTTTAAAACTTAATTATTCGGAATTTTGTTCAAAGCCAAAAATATAAAATTAATTAGACTATTAAAATGTAAAATTTTCTGTATTTTGATGGTCTTAACCCTTATTATTTTTCAAAAATCCATTTTATTTGTAATAACAAACGCTTTCTTCATAGTAATAGAAATTGTATGCAAAGCAAGTTGACTTTTGATAATCAAAGCAATTTGAATCTGATTTTGTCTGCTAAATTTTTGTCGAAAATAGAAATTTTCCTCATCGCTCTCCCTTGAATTATTTATAATGATAATCTAATAATTTTATGGGGCCTTGTACAGAATAATGTTCATGACATATAGCCTTCCAAAGTACTCTTGCTCACTTTGTATGGGTATTTCTGTCATACTCATTGTTGATGTCATTATATCTACCTCAACATCTTAGCATATTTTTCAGAGTATTTTAATGTAATAGGTTTTGCATCATGTTGATTATGTATAGATCGTCTCACAATGACAACTCTTGCCTGGGGTTAAGTATAGATTTCCTACCAATCAAACAATGTCAGCTATAATTATTACCTAATGTGAGATATTGGAATTATTCATATAGTAATATCAATGATCATTGAGAGTTAAACTGTACACAACTCACCCATGTATTAAGTAATATTGATTATACCTTCATCGATGATAAAGATGTTAAAAACGATAGAAAAGGCAGACAATCAAGTGGAAAGTGAAATAGTAGATGTCAATATGCCAATAATTTTTGAAACAGTAAATTGTTTTTGCTCTCACCAGCCTACCTCAGTTTCTGGATAATTAAGAAGCAATCATTTATCATTATTCCACCCTCACAGAATTTCTGAAAATGTCATGTTCAGCCAATACCAGTCTATGTTGTTTTTGCGCTTCTCTTACCGTTTTCAATAATTAGCCATGAACTTTAACACTCAAACATTAAGCTCCTAATGAAAGATAGAAATGTTGATTATTCAAAAGTTCTGGAATGGAGAGTTAATGAAATAAACAAAGTAGGATTCCTCAAAGGATTATCAGAACTAAATTATGAACAGACATGTTGTGTAGGCTGGTGTTGTAATGAGCAACATGGGCAATTAAGTCCCATGCTTTACCATAAGCTTAGAAACCAATCACATCGTAGCTCATCAAAAGAAGCATTTAGTGTTGTGCATACATTATTTTCTCGGTAACATTTATAAGACTTCTACTTGTCGGGAAAAAAAATGTTGTACCTGTTGTTTTCAGCAGTTGCTTTCCAAATTGCCTTCATTGTGTGCTTTTGAATGCTGTTTAAAGCCAATACAAGGACATCAACTAACCAAGTTTCATCACTCTTTACAGGGAAAACTATTTGCTTTCTTGATTTTTAAGTGGTATTTAATTCTCTGCAAACTTCATAAGCTCATATAATATGTATTGAGTCAGTTTTTATCCTAAACTAATAGTGCTACAGTACATTAGATAAAAGGTCTTTTTAGGTTATTTTTATTTCATGAAGAAATGTATAAGAATGAAAAATTACTTGTACATGTAATTTACAAACAAATGTTACACATATCTTGATTTATGGATTTTGTGTTGAAAATTTCTACAAAATATAAAAACAAATCTCAGGTATACTTTAAAAAGTTACGAGGGCCGAATTTGTTTGGAACCATTTGAAAACCTTTAAGATAATTTATATTTCATCAGTTGTAGTTACTAATACCATCTTGTATAAACCATTATGACTTATAAAAGATGTTATAGTAAACTAAAATACAAATTATCTAGATTGTTAAAAAACATTAAACCTATGACAAGATATAATACATATCTAAAACATTCAGTGTCTAATGATGATTGTATAGAACATTTTGTTTAAAATTTAATCTATTTTTGCTGCGAAGCAGCCAATTCATATTCTTGACAGCAATTTGACCTCTGAAAGGTCATTGTTTGTCAAAAATCAATCGCCTGAGACAACTGAAAAGCGGAGTTTCCTTCTTTCGTTCTGCCGCGTAAAATCAATTACTTTAGGTGACATTTGTAGACTAACCTACTCGTACCAACGTCGGCATGTCACGACACTGGAGTACTATTCAGCGTTTTTATTATATTTCTAGGTTTCCTATTTCTACGTTTAATCGGCTCATATCTCAGCCACAATATTTTGAGGACAATATTATTTACGAACCCAGTTAAACTTATTTACTAGCCTATTTCAACGTGCTAATTATTACA